TGCACATTCTATCGATTAAAGTTAAGGTAGTGGTAATTAATTACTGGTGCCGAAACACACTTGATGTAAGATTGCGCTTTTAATACTCAAGTCTATTCAATTTGTCGCCTGTCTCTGCAAAGAAACGAATGATTTTCTTCCTTCTCTCTGGGATTTTGTGGCTTGTACGCTCTCATTCTCCCTTTCTGCAACACAAAACGGACAGGATACCTCGTGTAAACTTTAACTTTGTTCTATTGATTTAATTCGAAGTTTTAAATACAGTTTTAAAAAAAGGAATAATTAGAAATAATTTTCATTCGGTTTAAACAAAACTGTTGTGATGTTGAGAGAAAAGAAAAATATGCAAATAGCCTCTATTCATGAATCATTACTCTCAATGACTATCGTAATTAATGAATGTAGACGCGACAACTTTGTTTTTAGCTTTAACATTAATCAATTCTTTCATTACAACCTTTAAGAATTGTTGATTACTTATCAACAGTTAGTAACGAAACATCCAAAAAATAAATCGAATCCAACCGAATCTTACTGAATGAATTTTTTCAATTATTTTTATTATTTTTTTTCCGAGAAAAAATTTACTTCTAACTAATTGCTGTATATATAAATTGAGGAAAGAATTGTTTAGAGAACATGTTTAAAAAGTTTCCTTAATGTGATAATGTTCTTTATTGCTGAATGAACTTTGTGTTGCTGACTAGAGTTTTTTTTTTGTTTTCCTTCTTTCTTGTTTCTCCTCAGTATTTTTAAAGCATTATAGCTTTGGTGTTCGAGAAACATAAATGCAAAGATGCAAGTGTTTTCCCAGTTTAACGATTCTCCACTTTTCCCACAGGTATGCTGAAAGAACACTTTCTTTTATATTAAGCTAAAGTACGGCTCATGATTGGCATTTACTAGGAAACAGAAGCAAAGTTAACTACTGAAGTGTGACTACAAACCTCAGCAATTTCCAGTTGCGGTTTTAAATTTTCGCGATTTATCTTATAATTCAACATAAAAAAACAAACAATTATTATTAAGAAGTTTAAAAGAAAACAATTTCCAATGATTACAAAAAGTTTAAATCCATTCAATTTTTAGTTAAAAGCTTAAATAAAACGCTTGAATGATGATTGTAATGGTGGAAAGAAGTTAACTACTTTCGTTCATTCGTGAAATTTTCTTTACTTTTTTTTTTTAAAGTTTTCAATGAGAAAGAGTGGTAGGATTATTTCTGAATATCATACAGAAGTGTTATGGGATAGATCATGATTTTATTTCCTTCCACTGCTGACTCATCAAGTTTCTACATCTAGAAATGTACTACACTCTGCACGCAAGAATTCTGAAAATCTACTTCTAACCGAACAAAACATTGTGAAATATATTCTTTTAACTTTGATAATCATTATATTTAGCCATTCCAACCGAGAAACAATTCTTTTTTTTTTCCTCTATAAATTTTTATATTTAAAGTTTTCTCATTAGAGATATCTTTTGAAAGAAGCGAGTGAATTAGAATCGCAGCAATTCACTTAAAGGATAAAGAAAACTTAAAACTTTACTAATTATTTATGAGTTTAGTTTTACGAATTTGACTCGAATTAAAGAATTGGGAAATAAAATAAATAATAGAAACAGTTCGGGAATGTTTTTTATACAAGAGAAACAAAAACCTTCTCCATTATTCAATCATAGCGCTACAGATTAAATTTTTAGAGGACAAGTTCGCATTAGATCATGACAAATGTGTAAACATTTCAAAGTTTAAGAAAGAAAAAAAAAATGTATGGAGAAATTACTTCTAAGATTCAGAATAAAAAAAAAAGGGTAAAGTTATTGTTCTACTAGTAAAGGCAATCAATTGCATGGAAACTAATAGCGTGCTCAAGCGCACAAGTACTATTCATCCTGCTACAGGACATATATAAACGACAGAAACAATTTTGGATTCTGTTTTCAGACTCTTTTCAGTTACGATGGGTTCTGAGTAACGGTCAAACTACAATTAACTTCTACCCCTTCATTCATCTTTGCTCTACAACGACAGAGACTTTCGCTATCGATTGAAAGACAGATGTGGTGAATGTTTCGTCCCTCTCCGCACAATGGCGCTTCATTGTTTCAACACGTCATTAATAAAGAGCCGCGATCGTCACGTCACGAATACTATCTGTGATGTCACAGAGGGCGTGACCAACAAGGAGGAAGTGAGGAGTCATTGATTACGAATTTCCAATTGTCGTTCGTTTTGTCGACGATAGATGGCACTAGATGTAATTTCGGTACAAATTGCCTTTTTCTCCATCTCTTTCTTCTTGGTGTGTTGTATGTAGTAAATGAGAAAACATTAATTTAGAAAATTTATACATAAATTTTATTAAAATTATGTATATTTTGAATATAGTAAAATTGTTTAAACTTCATATTTACCTCGTTTAATGCTTCCTTTGTCTATGTATCTTTGTATTATAGATGTTCCTGCCTTATCTAGGTTTAGTACGCTCATTTACATGTAATTTACGGTAAACTCGTGTCTATGTTTACATAGCTTTGTGTTTCTCAAAATAATTTTCAATTTATATCCTAAGTTAATTTTATTTTAGTAAATTTAATTTTAAATGCATTTATAAATGACCTGTACGTTTAATTTTTTCCACAAAGCATAATATTTTTTTATATCTGAATATGTCGAAAATAAGTATTATCAGCTTATATTATATACAGCCGACTGCTTCTATACATTATATAAGTGTAAATCATTCTTGTAGAAAAATCACGTATATAACACAGATAATACCTAGTGTATAATGAGTACATACTATAATAATTGTAGTACAAGCATTGTTATTGCATTACATGAATGCTACCGTGTTTATCTTTGTAGCTACCTAATTTAGAATTTTCTTGTTTGTATGTATATGTTGCTACAAAATCCAAATATTATGTAGTACGTATATATGCATATGTATGCACGCATCACGCATTTAATATATATTAGAAAAGACGATAAAATAGAAATTTGGACACATTTTTCTGCAATATACAATCCAAATGATCTAAAAGAAATGATATAAAAGAAATAAAATAACAACTTTTATGTTTTTTAGTGTCATAGGCGATATAACGCGAAGCGAATAATTATGGTGGAAGTAACACGGTGAAGACAGTATACTTTTTTTGTTTAAAAAATCGACAGGATATTTAAATGATCCTATTTAATAATCCGAACATTTCGATTCACCTTTACGACTTAAGAAAATATTTATTTATGTAAATGATTAGTTTTGATCATTTTTTTATGTATCGTTTGAATAATCATCTCTCCCTTTCTCTTCTTTATTAAAGATTTATAAGCGACGATTGTAAAGGTTCAGAAATCTTTTTAATATTAAGTTTTTTAAGAATTTTACATGGCTCAGCTGTCGGATTTATGGATGATGTTTACTTAACCGATATGGCGAAGAATACTAATGAGATATAATATACCACATTTTGAATATATTTGTAATGGATTGTGTAAACTATAAGTAAACATAACTCTTATACGTTTATTCAACTTTGATGCCTTTTAAACGATATATTTTGTATTAAAAAGTACAAGCATTATTATGTTTTCCACATCAAATTTATGCTTGAAAATAGTAATTAAATGCTAAAGAATAACAATAATTATGCTGCGATACTTTTCTTTATTAAAGTTTTCCCTCTCCGAAAATTATCGTAATTATCTTCTTAATAAAAGTTGAATAGGTTTGTTAATCCTTCTCGCTACATTTTAACATTAATTATGTATTTTATAACTGCATAAATGCGTTACGGTCGACAGGAAATTTATATATAAAGTTTTAATGAAGGAAATTTAATAATTTTTTTTTATAATCTGTTAAGCGTATGTATAAACTGTATTAAAATTATTAAGTCCCTTATTAATTAGTATTAAATATTGCAGTAAATTTAACTTTTTAGTAGATCTTAGAGATTATTCTACCTGGAGTACGTTCTGTTTGTCTGTATGTTTTTGTACATTTTATATTCTTGTGAACGTGCTTATGTACACGAGTTATTTGTAATTGTATATACCTTGTAAATTCTTGCGTATAACTATTCATGTTATGTTATCTTTATATAAACTATACATTCTTACATACATATTTATGAAATGTTACTTCAGTATTTCTCAGTTATCTATGATTTCAAAATGATATATTATGCTCCTATATCACATGGCAATATTATTTTTTCTTTTACAGAGAGCATATATTTCATATTTTTATATAATATATATGATTTTATATACCTGAATCTATGAATTTACTACATCTGTAGCATGTGTAAGTGAATATACGTAAAAGTTTAAAGCTGATAACTTATTCAAATTGAAAAACAACCTCGTGTAAAACATTTTCTTAAAAAAACAAAGTTAATTTAAAAATATATGTCGTCTAAAAAGATCAAAAGTTAATTTAATTCTTATTAATGAATAAATAATGTTGTTTATGAGTTAAAATCTTAACTTCTTTAAAAATATTTAACTAATTACTTAAAGAAAAAGATCTATGTATACTGTAAGTATACGATAAAATATAGAAACACACGCCTAGAATATATAATAGCAAAAATAATATAAAAAAAAAAGTTTTTCAATATAATTTTAAAGTCATTAGTTTGTATAAAAAGTTTAGAAGTTTATAATTTATTTATTCATGAGAAAATGAATTTCTACATATTTTACTATAATTATTCATCATAATAGAATAATCCCAGAAGAATACTTTTGACAGATCATTTAAAAGAAACTACTGACGTGTTTATATTCTTACAAATTTTGCATAAATATCTAAATTAATATAAACTCGAGTTCATTAAAAAAATCTACATTTAGTAATTTTACGCTTGATAATAAATGTAAAATAATATATGAGAAATTTTTAAATTATTTTAAATTGTTGCAACTTATCTACTTTTTAATAAAAATTAAAAAAAAAATACAAAATTATTATTTTGTGTAGGTCCCGATTATTGGGGTTTACTTAATCCCGATTGGAGATTATGTAATAAAGGTCGACACCAATCTCCAGTAGATATTGATCCCAATATCTTATTACACGATCCTCATTTGAGAAGCTTGAAGATTGATAAAGTAAGGGTGAGTGCTTTATTTTTGTTAACATTATTCTGTTTTATCGCTACACTTTTTAATATACAAAATAAAATTATTCGAAATATTGTATTATGAACAATATTTATAGGTTATTTTTAAGAATTTTTATGCATTTTTATATCATATTTTATAAATTCTTAGTTTATTTCGTTTTAAATTGTTAAGTTACTTGTTTTCAATCTTTCAACGTCGGTCTGATTGTCTATTCAATGTTTATTTCTTTATATCTTTAATTTAAAACTATTAGATTATATTTCATCTGTTTCTTAAGTTATTTTATTGTTTAAATGGCATCTGTTTTATAATTTTGTTTCTTATACTTTGAATTATTTATTCAAATAATTGATGATACATAACAATTGAATTATTATATTAATTTTTATTAAAATTATATGTAAATTAAAGATTTTAGTCTATTTTTTTCAATATTTTCTAAGCCATTTTATAAGAAAACATTTTTCAAGATGTAAATTTGTAACCTTACATCGTGTACTGTACATCAATGTGAACTTCTAAGACGGTGCAAAGTAAAAAAAAATTGTTAAGACCTTATCAAATGGCATCATAAGGTGAACTTTTTAGATCTTAGCACGTGTTTAATATTAAAAAAAAGAAAGTTGTTAAGATCATAGCGAGTGGCATTATGTGGAAAATTAGTCTTAGCAAGCAACACAATGTGGAAAAATGATTAAGGTCACAGCGAGTGGCACTATGTGGAAAAATTAAGAGAAGTTAAACTTAATTACCCATTATTAATTATAATAAATAAATTTTTATATTTTTCATTACAAAAGCGGCAATAAAAATTTATACTGCTAGCCTTTAAGGATGTAATTATAATTTATTTTAAAATTTGCTATTACTAGATGATGTTTTTAAAATTATCATAATAAAGAATAGATATTTTGATCTCCTGTAACATTTTCTGATATTTATGTTTTAATATTTTAAAATAAACTTCTAATTTAGAAAAAATATTAATAATAATAATATTTTATCTTATATTTATCCGTTAGAGGAAAAGAAAATAAGATTACAAAGTTTATTTTGAAAAGTAGATACTGAAACAAAATATATTTGGAAAATTTGCAATATCTTGTTTATTTTTCAAATCAAAAATTTGCTTTGACATAATATAAAATTGCGAAAATGTCAAAAATAAAATAGAAATTTAAAGAATTTTAGTCCAGAATTAGATTAAAAATAACGAATATATTGGAATAAGATGACGAACCTGTTGAGGTTAGACGAAGAATCTATTGGGTAAGATAACGAAACTACTTGGGTAAGGTGACGATTTAAGAAAGTAAAATGTTTTCCAATAAATTTTCTTGCCTACAAATGTCACTTATAAATTGACGTCTGTCAATATAATCAGAATATAGTTCGAACCATCAATCAATGCAAGCAATAAAACACTGAATCTAGTTTTTTCGAAGATCTTTTTCTTTTATCTAGAACATACTTCAAGGAAATTATTACAATGATCATTTAATATCGAGTTTTCTATATTTTGGGTGTTATTATTAATATTTTTATTTATTTACTTCAAAAGATTTTCTGCATAGTTTATCGAGTCATTTAATAGTTTTTTTTATTCAATATATTCTGAATACAGCCCTCCTTTTAGGTTAACTTTTCGGATTGTTATATCGAAAATTTACGTTAAAATTAAAAAAAAAATGACAAAATAATGATGCTAATTTCATTTTAAGAGTTAAATATGTGAATATAAAAATAAATAAGTATAATAATTTTTAAAATATGCAATATTTTCTTCTTTCTATCGATTAAAATTTATTTCACTATATAATAAGTAAACGAGGGGAACACATTTGCACTATAAAATTGCTACTCTAGCTCATAAAAATAGAAGAAAATATTCATCGTCCTATTTACTTTCTTGTAAAAATCATTATTAAATAATATGATAAATAACTGAAGGATCATTAAAGCATGCAATTTGCAGTTTATCTCATAACACACGTAAATACAGATCTTTTACATTCTCATGTGTAAATTAATGAATTAACAAAAAATTTTATAATTAACAACGGTTTATTTATTACTTTTTCTCATCATCCTACAACGCTTTGCTTCATTATAAAGATCATCATTTAAAATTTCAGAGCTTCATTTAAACGTATATATAATGATTGTATACTGTGTTATCAGCATACAAATGTTATAGCGAATATAACAAATGTATAATGGAATTACCTTTATATATTATTTGATGTCTTTCACATGTTCACAAAGCTGTCAAATGCAAAATGGCTAAATGTTTCTATATTATCCTTCCTTCTCTATATATATTACAACCATAAATTGTTTCATTTAATCTTAATTGCTTAACTACAGTATTATCATTTTATGTTTTATAACTAATTTCTTCAATTTTTAAACAAATTTGTCGAAAGTTTTATCGATATATGTTCACGTTTGTAATTAATTTTAATGTAAACAAGATGTAAAAAAACGGAAGGTCGCTTCGTGGGCTTAATTTGTATTAAAAAGGTTGTAATTCTATGGATTATTATTGTTATAATCAAGTTTTAAATTGAGTTTCGTTACATTAAATTTAAACACATTTACTTCATAGTTTTTAAACTTTAGCATAAATTCATAAATTAATTATTAAGTATAAATAAACTATAAAATAATATTAAATAATATAAACATAATGTTCGCATTTTGTAGTGACTGCTTCATATATCTTTTCTAACTCTTTCATTGAAAAATATTGGATAATGCCTGAGAGATTCGTGAGCCTTTAGCTGAAAGAACAGTATTTTAATGGAAATAATTTTTTAAAAAGGACATAGAATTTTTCATATTGAATTAACTAATTTCGTGCAGTTGATAAAAATATAATATTAATTTTAAAAATCTAATTTTTAAATGCAATATTTTTCAGTAATTAAATCTAGGTTTTTCTAATCGTCCCTGTGATTCTTGTTCAGCACAAGACTAAACCAAAAAAGAAAAACCCAAAAAAGGAGGTCACTTTCTACTATGGACAAGTGTAGTTTCCATTTTGCAGATTAAATTCTACCTTCCCTGGAACGATTATTTTCATGCATTGTATCACATCCCCGTCATTGATATATCATGTTTCAGAACTGAAGTATATTTTTCGTTTCTGTCTTAAGAAACACTTACATTAATTATTGTCTGGTATAATTTAACAGCTTTTATATAAATGTAATTACTATATTAAATATATATAGGATAATTAGCATTATCAAATTAACATATCGCGTTTTGATGTTATAGATACTTCGTATCAATTTAAGAAATGGCTAACTATACACAACTGAGATTTTGTGCTATGAAAGATTAGTTTTTCACGCTTAAAAGAAAAAGAAAAGATTAGAAACGTGCTAAAAGACTTACTTCAATTACTTCAATGCATTTTCTCCCTCCACCTGAGAGACTTCTGTCTTGAATACAATGACTTTTCCTCTTCCAACACCAACAGGGAATGATCCATTTCATCATTTTTGCAACAGGAGTTTGTTATTTGTCGAATCCTATTACCCTTTGCTCCTTTCATCATCAAGAGACTACATGCCGCAGGGGTCATCCACGACCTATAGGACTCCCATAACCTTATGATATTGAAGATCTTCCTGTCATAACCTGCTGCTTAAGTTCACGTATGCTTCATTATCGAAGAAAGAAACTAGATAAAACATTTCATAATCAAAATTCTAGCAAAATTTTAAATAAATTACATAGCTTAATGGATGTTTCATTGGCTTGTTAGAAGTGCCATAATGTAAAAACAAAAAAAAAAAAAAAAGCTAGAAAGTAAGAACTTTATTCATTTATTTTTCCTTTCAATTGAGTTTTTCATCTCATAAGTAAGTATATTCCATCTGTACTTATCTAATGAACAAGTAACAGAAACGGTTTCAAATTTATTGAATTCGTTTTCACTTCTTTCGATTGTAATTCTAACAGAAAAGAAATAGAGTTAAAGCAAGAAAGAAATAAAAAAAAGCGACATAGTCAAGGAAATTATTCCTATCAGAAACAGTTAATTTTCCCATCACTACAATTACTTTTCTCACACCTGTATCTAAATGTAAATTCCTTAGTGACGAAAGTAATTTTCTGCATAAGATTGTGTAATTCGATTTCTCTCTCTTAAAAAGTAAAACTAGAGCTGCTGATGCGATGCAAACCTTAAAATCGTTGGATGTGTTTCTCGTTCAATAATTCATGAAAATAAGCAACAGTTTTGACTTAAGGGCTCTTTTCTAAATATAAAAAACAACAACAACACGCATTTTAATGGAATTTAATGTATAAAAAATGTACATATATATATATATTTATAAAGTCGAAACCGTAGATAATGCGCACCAAATCTGTTACCTCTTATAGAAGTAAAGCACACTCGAGTAGTCCATTAACCAAACTCATTAGCTTAGAGAAAAGCATTCAATCGTTTTGCATTATCTGGGTCATTTCTTCCATGATAAGACATCCATAATCTATTAGAAATGTGTGGCAATTGCTGTAATTTAAGCAATCCTTTCTCGTGATGTATCGCCCATCGAAAAATCATAATAATTAATTATTTTCTTTAGTTATCGTGTGCAGATAATTATAAATCCGTGTGAAAATGACCTTTTGCCGAATTAATTTTATTCTTAGAAAAGATTTATTATGATTGAAATCGTCCAAATGTATAAATGCGAAACGTTAAGATGTCGAATAATATCGATTTTAATAATTATTTTATTATTATTTTTTTAATTAAATTTGTTTTATTATTCCAATTTTGTGCGAATTATTTCTTTATGAATTGTCCAATTCGTGTGTAAATTTTATTTATTTATTTATTTACTTTTTAAATAAAATATTTACATTGTTTTATTTTTAAAATTTAATTTATTTTTGTTTATACTAAAATTCGTGTTAAAAATTTAAGTATATATATTTAAAAAAAAAAACATTTGTAAAAAAGTAAAATTAATTCGAAATTTTATGAAATTTTTTAAGCTTTAAGAATTTTAATTGAAAATTTATCTTATTTCAATATTTAAATAGAAATAATTCGAGAAAAATTGTAAAAGGTAATTTTATTTGAATTTCTAATTTAAAAGTTTAAACAAATTATATTTAAGTTTTCAATTTAAATTTATGTTGAATTTATTATATTTATTTTGTTTTATTAATAAATAAAATAGCGTGAATTTTTAAGAAATTGGTTTAAAATTATAATAAGCAACTTATTACATTCAATTATATAAATTTCAAATTTGATAAAAATCAATAAAATTTTCGTAAAATTTCAAGAATTTTGACACGAATTTGTTAATGGATTCGAACGAAAATTCAAGGAAAATTTAGAAAGAAATTTAAGGAAAATTTAGAAAGAAATTCAAGGAAATTTTAGAAAGAAATTCAAGGAAATTTTAGAAAGAAATTCAAAGAAAATTTAGAAAGAAATTCAAGGAAATTTTAGAAATAAATTCGAGAAAATTAATTTTTTCTAAAATAATTGAGTGTTAGTTGAATTAATTTTTATTTTTGAAAAATTGAATTTATGTAAAAATTTTCACGAATGAAAACCTTTTCGTACGCTTATCATCGATTATATCAATTTGTCATTCGCCTGGTATATTTGTGATTGTAGGTAATGATTTTTCTAGGAGTTTTTTTAACATCTCATGAGAATAGAAAATTGCTTCTGTTGGGTTCTAGAAAAATAAATTTCCAGGTTATAAATCGTATAAACGAAAATTGGATTTAAGGTCTAAAGTTGAAGTCATCTAGTATTTTGGCGCTTATATTAAATTTTTTTTTATCTATTTTTCTTGCTTTTGTAAATAATTTGTGGTCTGTTGGTTCCATTTTCTCTACAAGTAGTTATTTTTTGATTGAAAATATATTATGCTTTTAACCTTTATTCTAGACATTTAATTTTCTGATGCCTAAAGATAGTGGCAAACAAATGAGTTGGATTTTTTTGTTTTGCTGGGGGAAGAAGAATAAAAAATTGGTTTTGGGTATTTTGTCAGTAATTTATCTTTTTTACGCGTGTTTTCTACATCATATCTAGTTTATATGGGAAAAATATTGATTTTTTTGATAGAAATCGTTGTCAGGATTTCGAATAAAATGTGCTTTTCGAGATATACTGAGATGGAGAGAGTACGTTTGTATGTATATCAGTATGCGTTGATAGTAAATCTGTGCTTGGGTTTCTATAGAAATAATCTATAACTACTTAAAACTATTAACAAATATTAAAATTATAACTAAAGATCAGCGATAACATAAATTCTTTAGAATTACATGGTGATATTCAACAATGCTCAAGTTTTTAACGTTTTTCTCCCCTTCTTTTCCTCTGCTCAAAAAAACAAGATGGAAGAAAATGTATGGTACAGAAAGTATATTAAATTTTTTTCTTTTTGTTGTTGTATTCTTTTAAAAAATGGTTTTTTTGTTAGAAATTTATGTTATTGTTACCAGACGTGAAATCCTTTTCCGAAATTCTTATTTAGGTGAGTGGTGTTGTTACTAATACGGGACACGGAGTGGTATTCCGCATCACATCCAGTAAACCAGGCGAAACGGTTAACATTACGGGAGGACCACTCTCGTACAGGTATCGCCTTCACGAGATTTACCTGCATTTCGGACGTACTGACGATAGAGGGTCGGAACATACTGTTGCAGGTAATACCTTTCCAGCAGAGGTAAGAAAAGCCGTTTCCTAAACTGCTTAGATTATATTATTTACGCTAATGTGCGATTAAGGTAAATGTTTAACACTTTCTTATAAGTGAATGGCGACGAGTCTTTAATGGACTCACATATTGGGTACTGAGACAATAAAGTACAATCCCATGATATTCAACTTTGCTACTAGATGCTACAATTCACGTTAATAGGTGGTTACTTTAGCTAACGTAAAGTCTCATGTCCTGCAATTAGGAAGGAACGTGTGACACGCTCGACAACTTTTCTTCGAGATCAATAGTCGAGACCAAAGGTTTCGTACTCAATACCAAACTTCTTCTAACTTGATAATCATTTTTACCACATCGGGATCGTTATCAAATTATTAAAACTTAACCATAAATAGTTTTAATGAATTATATAATATTTACTCTTTCGTCATTTTTCTAAGCTTTTATCTTAAGTAAATGGACCGATGAAACATAAAGTGGATTGATAATGGTTCTTTTCAGCTTCAGATCTACGGTTACAATTCAGATCTGTATCCAAACATCACAGAAGCATTCACTCTTCACAGAAGCCATAGTATCGTAGGCGTGGCTGTACTTTTACAGGTAAGTATGTTTGTATAGCTACTATACATTAGATAATGGTCATTTGGACTCTTTATCGGTTAAATTTTGCTCTTAAATCAATTATTTTTAATGTTATGTAAACATTTTTGCGTGGAAACAATTTTAGGAGTCGAGAAAATAACATTTTTCTTTAAAAAATGCATTGTTGTTTGACACCAATATGTCATTAAATAAAAACTGACAGAAACATGTTCAGAATATAATTGCGAGTTTTCTTATCTTGACAAACATATTTATTCATGTTTGCATTAAATGGTGTTTCTCAACCTTTCAGCTTATTGAAAATCGTGGCATTATCTAAAAATATCATTCGCCATTCTCCTGGGATTCGCGACTCACTAATTACAAAACATTATCATCAAATTAAGAATAAGTACAATGCCAAATAGTAGAAATGCCCAATATTTGAGAAACGTTTGACGGTTTTTTAAACTATAAAAATGTTATAATTTTATTTACGAGAAAATAAAACAATTTATAAGTTGGTGGCTTGCAACATAATAAAATAAGAACGTTATAAATTATATAAAATAACCACAGACCCGAATAATTAAAGATAAATAAATAAATATTCAATAAATATAAACAATACAAAAATGACTTAAATGTAATAAAAACGAATAAAGAATTCACAACACAAATAAAAAAAATAAGTTAAATATATTTATTGGAGTAAATAGCCTTCAGGAAACTTCATTCTATAATTAATTGATATCTGTACTAATATAGATGTTAAATCAGTTATTCTTTATTTTTTAATATTATAAGGTTGTTCTTATTGAAGAATTGCGTGAGAGCTCTACAACTCAACTTCAACGTTGGGTCATCTCTTTCTCAATGGGCATTTCTCCTGATGATTTTTTTTTTATCTAACAATGTTTTTTTTTATCGCGTAAAGACAATATATCATTACTTTCATTCATGCAAATTATTATTATTTCAGCTTGGCGAAATTTCCAATGCGGAATTAAGAGTTTTAACAAGTCAACTACATAGAATTATATATAGAGGTACGTGTAGATTCTTTTTTAATATATTTATTTATTAAAAAAAACTTTAAGATATAAAACATTGATTCTATTATTGTGTTATCTGGAAGAATCAAAATATTATCAAAAATTGGAGTTTGGATGTAACGACTTTTTAAAAAATGAGGTGTGATATTCAACAATTGTACTACAAGGAGAAGGAAGAAAGAAATGTAACCTATACATTTACGGTCAATTTGATGTGACCAAAACATATAAGAGTTACAGTAGTAAGAAAATAAAAATAAAAATTTATTTCTGCTTCGATGCAATTTCAAAGCTATTTACTAAAAATACTCGGATATCGAACAGAGCTTCAATAGAAAAACAAAGTATGATAAGAGGTGGAAAGGTGTTATTTTGTAGACACTCAAAAACCTCCTCCTCAACCAACAATCATCGGAATGAGAGGGTTCGAGTCTTATGAGGTCTATCGAGAGAAATGCCATCTGGAGATAAAAACAAGAATTGCATCGATAAAACAGAAACAACGAACAAAAACATCTTACAACTCTGTAATATTTATAATTTTCTTTTGACAAAAAGAAAAAAAACCATTATCTCGTCAGGAAATCACACAAATTTTATTTCGTTAAAAAAAAATACTTATTAAAAATTGTTGTAAAAGTTTACAAGACAAAAATATTTTAACATTCTCGTGACGAAAGGCTATTTGCTTTCCCTTTTTTTTTTCTTCTTTTTTATTTTTTGCTCCGCACGCGTGACAGTCTTCAACCGCAATATACTTCGTCACGCTGATCACGAATTTCATTTTGTGAAGAAGATAAACAATATTGATGACCAGAATAAAATATTCAATGCTTAAGATTTGGTTAGAGTAATATGTACTTTATATATTTATATATAAACATTTACTTTTTTTTTTTNTTAATATTTTAAAATAAACTTCTAATTTAGAAAAAATATTAATAATAATAATATTTTATCTTATATTTATCCGTTAGAGGAAAAGAAAATAAGATTACAAAGTTTATTTTGAAAAGTAGATACTGAAACAAAATATATTTGGAAAATTTGCAATATCTTGTTTATTTTTCAAATCAAAAATTTGCTTTGACATAATATAAAATTGCGAAAATGTCAAAAATAAAATAGAAATTTAAAGAATTTTAGTCCAGAATTAGATTAAAAATAACGAATATATTGGAATAAGATGACGAACCTGTTGAGGTTAGACGAAGAATCTATTGAGTAAGATAACGAAACTACTTGGGTAAGGTGACGATTTAAGAAAGTAAAATGTTTTCCAATAAATTTTCTTGCCTACAAATGTCACTTATAAATTGACGTCTGTCAATATAATCAGAATATAGTTCGAACCATCAATCAATGCAAGCAATAAAACACTGAATCTAGTTTTTTTCGAAGATCTTTTTCTTTTATCTAGAACATACTTCAAGGAAATTATTACAATGATCATTTAATATCGAGTTTTATATATTTTGGGTGTTATTATTAATATTTTCATTTATTTACTTCAAAAGATTTTCTGCATAGTTTATCGAGTCATTTAATAGTTTTTTATTCAATATATTCTGAATACAGCCCTCTTTTTAGGTTAAATTTTCGGATTGTTATATCGAAGATTTACGTTAAAATTTAAAAAAAAATGACAAAATAATGATGCTAATTTCATTTTAAGAGTTAAATATGTGAATATAAAAATAAATAAGTATAATAATTTTTAAAATATGCAATATATTTTCTTCTTTCTATCGATTAAAATTTATTTCACTATATAATAAGTAAACGAGGGGAACACATTTGCACTATAAAATTGCTACTCTAGCTCATAAAAATAGAAGAAAATATTCATCGTCCTATTTACTTTCTTGTAAAAATCATTATTAAATAATATGATAAATAACTGAAGGATCATTAAAGCATGCAATTTGCAGTTTATCTCATAACACACGTAAATACAGATCTTTTACATTCTCATGTGTAAATTAATGAATTAACAAAAAATTTTATAATTAACAACGGTTTATTTATTACTTTTTCTCATCATCCTACAACGCTTTGCTTCATTATAAAGATCATCATTTAAAATTTCAGAGCTTCATTTAAACGTATATATAATGATTGTATACTGTGTTATCAGCATACAAATGTTATAGCGAATATAACAAATGTATAATGGAATTACCTTTATATATTATTTGATGTCTTTCACATGTTCACAAAGCTGTCAAATGCAAAATGGCTAAATGTTTCTATATTATCCTTCCTTCTCTATATATATTACAACCATAAATTGTTTCATTTAATCTTAATTGCTTAACTACAGTATTATCATTTTATGTTTTATAACTAATTTCTTCAATTTTTAAACAAATTTGTCGAAAGTTTTATCGATATATGTTCACGTTTGTAATTAATTTTAATGTAAACAAGATGTAAAAAAACGGAAGGTCGCTTCGTGGGCTTAATTTGTATTAAAAAGGTTGTAATTCTATGGATTATTATTGTTATAATCAAGTTTTAAATTGAGTTTCGTTACATTAAATTTAAACACATTTACTTCATAGTTTTTAAACTTTAGCATAAATTCATAAATTAATTATTAAGTATAAATAAACTATAAAATAATATTAAATAATATAAACATAATGTTCGCATTTTGTAGTGACTGCTTCATATATCTTTTCTAACTCTTTCGTTGAAAAATATTGGATAATGCCTGAGAGATTCGTGAGCCTTTAGCTGAAAGAACAGTATTTTAATGGAAATAATTTTTTAAAAAGGACATAGAATTTTTCATATTGAATTAACTAATTTCGTGCAGTTGATAAAAATATAATATTAATTTTAAAAATCTAATTTTTAAATGCAATATTTTTCAGTAATTAAATCTAGGTTTTTCTAATCGTCCCTGTGATTCTTGTTCAGCACAAGACTAAACCAAAAAAGAAAAACCCAAAAAAGGAGGTCACTTTCTACTATGGACAAGTGTAGTTTCCATTTTGCAGATTAAATTCTACCTTCCCTGGAACGATTATTTTCATGCATTGTATCACATCCCCGTCATTGATATATCATGTTTCAGAACTGAAGTATATTTTTCGTTTCTGTCTTAAGAAACACTTACATTAATTATTGTCTGGTATAATTTAACAGCTTTTATATAAATGTAATTACTATATTAAATATATATAGGATAATTAGCATTATCAAATTAACATATCGCGTTTTGATGTTATAGATACTTCGTATCAATTTAAGAAATGGCTAACTATACACAACTGAGATTTTGTGCTATGAAAGATTAGTTTTTCACGCTTAAAAGAAAAAGAAAAGATTAGAAACGTGCTAAAAGACTTACTTCAATTACTTCAATGCATTTTCTCCCTCCACCTGAGAGACTTCTGTCTTGAATACAATGACTTTTCCTCTTCCAACACCAACAGGGAATGATCCATTTCATCATTTTTGCAACAGGAGTTTGTTATTTGTCGAATCCTATTACCCTTTGCTCCTTTCATCATCAAGAGACTACATGCCGCAGGGGTCATCCACGACCTATAGGACTCCCATAACCTTATGATATTGAAGATCTTCCTGTCATAACCTGCTGCTTAAGTTCACGTATGCTTCATTATCGAAGAAAGAAACTAGATAAAACATTTCATAATCAAAATTCTAGCAAAATTTTAAATAAATTACATAGCTTAATGGATGTTTCATTGGCTTGTTAGAAGTGCCATAATGTAAAAACAAAAAAAAAAATAAGCTAGAAAGTAAGAACTTTATTCATTTATTTTTCCTTTCAATTGAGTTTTTCATCTCATAAGTAAGTATATTCCATCTGTACTTATCTAATGAACAAGTAACAGAAACGGTTTCAAATTTATTGAATTCGTTTTCACTTCTTTCGATTGTAATTCTAACAGAAAAGAAATAGAGTTAAAGCAAGAAAGAAATAAAAAAAAGCGACATAGTCAAGGAAATTATTCCTATCAGAAACAGTTAATTTTCCCATCACTACAATTACTTTTCTCACACCTGTATCTAAATGTAAATTCCTTAGTGACGAAAGTAATTTTCTGCATAAGATTGTGTAATTCGATTTCTCTCTCTTAAAAAGTAAAACTAGAGCTGCTGATGCGATGCAAACCTTAAAATCGTTGGATGTGTTTCTCGTTCAATAATTCATGAAAATAAGCAACAGTTTTGACTTAAGGGCTCTTTTCTAAATATAAAAAACAACAACAACACGCATTTTAATGGAATTTAATGTATAAAAAATGTACATATATATATATATTTATAAAGTCGAAACCGTAGATAATGCGCACCAAATCTGTTACCTCTTATAGAAGTAAAGCACACTCGAGTAGTCCATTAACCAAACTCATTAGCTTAGAGAAAAGCATTCAATCGTTTTGCATTATCTGGGTCATTTCTTCCATGATAAGACATCCATAATCTATTAGAAATGTGTGGCAATTGCTGTAATTTAAGCAATCCTTTCTCGTGATGTATCGCCCATCGAAAAATCATAATAATTAATTATTTTCTTTAGTTATCGTGTGCAGATAATTATAAATCCGTGTGAAAATGACCTTTTGCCGAATTAATTTTATTCTTAGAAAAGATTTATTATGATTGAAATCGTCCAAATGTATAAATGCGAAACGTTAAGATGTCGAATAATATCGATTTTAATAATTATTTTATTATTATTTTTTTAATTAAATTTGTTTTATTATTCCAATTTTGTGCGAATTATTTCTTTATGAATTGTCCAATTCGTGTGTAAATTTTATTTATTTATTTATTTACTTTTTAAATAAAATATTTACATTGTTTTATTTTTAAAATTTAATTTATTTTTGTTTATACTAAAATTCGTGTTAAAAATTTAAGTATATATATTTAAAAAAAAAAACATTTGTAAAAAAGTAAAATTAATTCGAAATTTTATGAAATTTTTTAAGCTTTAAGAATTTTAATTGAAAATTTATCTTATTTCAATATTTAAATAGAAATAATTCGAGAAAAATTGTAAAAGGTAATTTTATTTGAATTTCTAATTTAAAAGTTTAAACAAATTATATTTAAGTTTTCAATTTAAATTTATGTTGAATTTATTATTATATTTATTTTGTTTTATTAATAAATAAAATAGCGTGAATTTTTAAGAAATTGGTTTAAAATTATAATAAGCAACTTATTACATTCAATTATATAAATTTCAAATTTGATAAAAATCAATAAAATTTTCGTAAAATTTCAAGAATTTTGACACGAATTTGTTAATGGATTCGAACGAAAATTCAAGGAAAATTTAGAAAGAAATTTAAGGAAAATTTAGAAAGAAATTCAAGGAAATTTTAGAAAGAAATTCAAGGAAATTTTAGAAAGAAATTCAAAGAAAATTTAGAAAGAAATTCAAGGAAATTTTAGAAATAAATTCGAGAAAATTAATTTTTTCTAAAATAATTGAGTGTTAGTTGAATTAATTTTTATTTTTGAAAAATTGAATTTATGTAAAAATTTTCACGAATGAAAACCTTTTCGTACGCTTATCATCGATTATATCAATTTGTCATTCGCCTGGTATATTTGTGATTGTAGGTAATGATTTTTCTAGGAGTTTTTTTAACATCTCATGAGAATAGAAAATTGCTTCTGTTGGGTTCTAGAAAAATAAATTTCCAGGTTATAAATCGTATAAACGAAAATTGGATTTAACGGTCTAAAGTTGAAGTCATCTAGTATTTTGGCGCTTATATTAAATTTTTTTTTATCTATTTTTCTTGCTTTTGTAAATAATTTGTGGTCTGTTGGTTCCATTTTCTCTACAAGTAGTTATTTTTTGATTGAAAATATATTATGCTTTTAACCTTTATTCTAGACATTTAATTTTCTGATGCCTAAAGATAGTGGCAAACAAATGAGTTGGATTTTTTTGTTTTGCTGGGGGAAGAAGAATAAAAAATTGGTTTTGGGTATTTTGTCAGTAATTTATCTTTTTTACGCGTGTTTTCTACATCATATCTAGTTTATATGGGAAAAATATTGATTTTTTTGATAGAAATCGTTGTCAGGATTTCGAATAAAATGTGCTTTTCGAGATATACTGAGATGGAGAGAGTACGTTTGTATGTATATCAGTATGCGTTGATAGTAAATCTGTGCTTGGGTTTCTATAGAAATAATCTATAACTACTTAAAACTATTAACAAATATTAAAATTATAATTAAAGATCAGCGATAACATAAATTCTTAAGAATTACATGGTGATATTCAACAATGCTCAAGTTTTTAACGTTTTTCTCCCCTTCTTTTCCTCTGCTCAAAAAAACAAGATGGAAGAAAATGTATGGTACAGAAAGTATATTAAATTTTTTTCTTTTTGTTGTTGTATTCTTTTAAAAAATGGTTTTTTTGTTAGAAATTTATGTTATTGTTACCAGACGTGAAATCCTTTTCCGAAATTCTTATTTAGGTGAGTGGTGTTGTTACTAATACGGGACACGGAGTGGTATTCCGCATCACATCCAGTAAACCAGGCGAAACGGTTAACATTACGGGAGGACCACTCTCGTACAGGTATCGCCTTCACGAGATTTACCTGCATTTCGGTCGTACTGACGATAGAGGGTCGGAACATACTGTTGCAGGTAATACCTTTCCAGCAGAGGTAAGAAAAGCCGTTTCCTAAACTGCTTAGATTATATTATTTACGCTAATGTGCGATTAAGGTAAATGTTTAACACTTTCTTATAAGTGAATGGCGACGAGTCTTTAATGGACTCACATATTGGGTACTGAGACAATAAAGTACAATCCCATGATATTCAACTTTGCTACTAGATGCTACAATTCACGTTAATAGGTGGTTACTTTAGCTAACGTAAAGTCTCATGTCCTGCAATTAGGAAGGAACGTGTGACACGCTCGACAACTTTTCTTCGAGATCAATAGTCGAGACCAAAGGTTTCGTACTCAATACCAAACTTCTTCTAACTTGATAATCATTTTTACCACATCGGGATCGTTATCAAATTATTAAAACTTAACCATAAATAGTTTTAATGAATTATATAATATTTACTCTTTCGTCATTTTTCTAAGCTTTTATCTTAAGTAAATGGACCGATGAAACATAAAGTGGATTGATAATGGTTCTTTTCAGCTTCAGATCTACGGTTACAATTCAGATCTGTATCCAAACATCACAGAAGCATTCACTCTTCACAGAAGCCATAGTATCGTAGGCGTGGCTGTACTTTTACAGGTAAGTATGTTTGTATAGCTACTATACATTAGATAATGGTCATTTGGACTCTTTATCGGTTAAATTTTGCTCTTAAATCAATTATTTTTAATGTTATGTAAACATTTTTGCGTGGAAACAATTTTAGGAGTCGAGAAAATAACATTTTTCTTTAAAAAATGCATTGTTGTTTGACACCAATATGTCATTAAATAAAAACTGACAGAAACATGTTCAGAATATAATTGCGAGTTTTCTTATCTTGACAAACATATTTATTCATGTTTGCATTAAATGGTGTTTCTCAACCTTTCAGCTTATTGAAAATCGTGGCATTATCTAAAAATATCATTCGCCATTCTCCTGGGATTCGCGACTCACTAATTACAAAACATTATCATCAAATTAAGAATAAGTACAATGCCAAATAGTAGAAATGCCCAATATTTGAGAAACGTTTGACGGTTTTTTAAACTATAAAAATGTTATAATTTTATTTACGAGAAAATAAAACAATTTATAAGTTGGTGGCTTGCAACATAATAAAATAAGAACGTTATAAATTATATAAAATAACCACAGACCCGAATAATTAAAGATAAATAAATAAATATTCAATAAATATAAACAATACAAAAATGACTTAAATGTAATAAAAACGAATAAAGAATTCACAACACAAATAAAAAAAATAAGTTAAATATATTTATTGGAGTAAATAGCCTTCAGGAAACTTCATTCTATAATTAATTGATATCTGTACTAATATAGATGTTAAATCAGTTATTCTTTATTTTTTAATATTATAAGGTTGTTCTTATTGAAGAATTGCGTGAGAGCTCTACAACTCAACTTCAACGTTGGGTCATCTCTTTCTCAATGGGCATTTCTCCTGATGATTTTTTTTTTATCTAACAATGTTTTTTTTTATCGCGTAAAGACAATATATCATTACTTTCATTCATGCAAATTATTATTATTTCAGCTTGGCGAAATTTCCAATGCGGAATTAAGAGTTTTAACAAGTCAACTACATAGAATTATATATAGAGGTACGTGTAGATTCTTTTTTAATATATTTATTTATTAAAAAAAACTTTAAGATATAAAACATTGATTCTATTATTGTGTTATCTGGAAGAATCAAAATATTATCAAAAATTGGAGTTTGGATGTAACGACTTTTTAAAAAATGAGGTGTGATATTCAACAATTGTACTACAAGGAGAAGGAAGAAAGAAATGTAACCTATACATTTACGGTCAATTTGATGTGACCAAAACATATAAGAGTTACAGTAGTAAGAAAATAAAAATAAAAATTTATTTCTGCTTCGATGCAATTTCAAAGCTATTTACTAAAAATACTCGGATATCGAACAGAGCTTCAATAGAAAAACAAAGTATGATAAGAGGTGGAAAGGTGTTATTTTGTAGACACTCAAAAACCTCCTCCTCAACCAACAATCATCGGAATGAGAGGGTTCGAGTCTTATGAGGTCTATCGAGAGAAATGCCATCTGGAGATAAAAACAAGAATTGCATCGATAAAACAGAAACAACGAACAAAAACATCTTACAACTCTGTAATATTTATAATTTTCTTTTGACAAAAAGAAAAAAAAACCATTATCTCGTCAGGAAATCACACAAATTTTATTTCGTTAAAAAAAAATACTTATTAAAAATTGTTGTAAAAGTTTACAAGACAAAAATATTTTAACATTCTCGTGACGAAAGGCTATTTGCTTTCCCTTTTTTTTTTCTTCTTTTTTATTTTTTGCTCCGCACGCGTGACAGTCTTCAACCGCAATATACTTCGTCACGCTGATCACGAATTTCATTTTGTGAAGAAGATAAACAATATTGATGACCAGAATAAAATATTCAATGCTTAAGATTTGGTTAGAGTAATATGTACTTTATATATTTATATATAAACATTTACTTTTTTTTTATTTCGGTGGTTAGATTTGACCTTATTTAAGAATTTAAAATATTAATAAATGCGCTGAATTTATATATATATTAATTTTTTTAAAGGGAGAATGACTGAACAAATGCCATAATTACAATGTGCAGACTTTTTTGAAATATATAATTGAATTTTTTTTAATTCTGGACCATAGCCAGAACATTTTCTTACTCTATTTATCCCCTTTTTTGCCATTCTTCTGGATAAAAATCTGTAGTGATGTCTTTATTAATACGCTTCGTTGTTCACTAATGGTTGAAAAACGACATTAATAAAAGTTTGTCCAAAAAAAAAAAATGGAAAAAAAATTCTTTTTGAGTCTCTTAATCCACTACACTGATTCCAATAGACTGATAATTCTCAACTTGTTTTTCTCTTATAAGTTTTAGGAGATAAATCTAATTAATTGTTCTTGGGAAATGTTTCCTGTCCAACATATTTTTTTTTTTTTAACAATTTTAAAATTTAATAAATCTTTTAAAGAAATTTTCTAAAAGTATGTTTATTTTGTAAAAATATCTAACTCTAAAGTATCGATTTTTTAAAAGAAAAAGAGTCTTTTATAATAATAAAAAAAATAGGAAAGTTACATATTAGTGACGAGAATATGATTAGATTTTTATATTAATTAACAGAGACCGGACTTCACGAAAAAACGTGAATGTCATGTACTATGACGTATCAGATGTACGTCAAGGGACGTGACGGACGTCATTCTGATGTGTTATGGCATTAAATCGATTTACATTCGAAGAAGGTTATCGTTATCTAGATAGGATACTTAATTACGTTCTTACATCAAAAATGATTTTTTTTTTCCTGGGATTAATGAACTGTCAACGTTTTCTCTTTACATTGCTTCATTCATTTCCTGATTATAAAAATTAAATCTATACTTTCTTTAGATTTAAACCAATCAAAAATTGCATATTAAGTTAGAAGAACGGCATTAATAACAATTAATGCTATAAATTTTCTGTAATAATCAATCAAAAATTATATTGTTATCGTGTGTAAAATGGGATTAAAAATAAATATTTTCTTTTCTATAATTTTATAAAATAATTTATCAACAAATTATATATATTAAATAATTGAATAATAATAGAAATTTTAGGCTTTATCTTTCATAAATGATTAAATAAAAATTATATATTAAATTTAAAATAAATAAATATAAATAAAATATGCATTTATTGCTATATAATTTATTTACGTTTGAAAAATAGGCTAATATAATACTTTATTTATTTATTATTTATATCAATAAATAATGTCCGTAAGAACGAGTTATTACTTTCTCCAATAAAAACAAATAAAAAACAAAATTTTGTTTTTTAGAATTATTCTAGAACAAAAAAAAAATCAAGAACTTCTTTTATTATTAATTATGAAAGAGATTAATAAAAGTTATGTATATTTTATTTCTTTCATTAAAATTGAATAGATTTTATTAATCAAATTTTAGAATTAATGGAAATTCTAGAATGTTTTATTCGCTATTGTATTTAAAAATATAAAAAGTAATAATGTATAACAATAATTAATATAGCTTTAAATTTGAAATTTTAGCAAAGTAAAACATATAATTTTGAATCTTAATTTACGTTTAAAAAAGTATAATTAATTTTTATTTGAGTTTTTATTTAATTCTATTTATAATTTATTCTAATTTTGTGTCAGTGTAGAAAGTGGTCGACGAATTAAATCTAATTTTGGAAAGGTTTTGACAAGCGCAAAAAATTGGAAACTTCTGTTTTAGATTATTAATTAATTTTTTTCTTTATCCTCGCCTTTACCCATGTTTATATGGGGTCGGTGTTTCCTTAGAGATTATAAATAATCTTTAATACGTTTCTTCCATTTCTTCCTGTCAAGGGCTTCTTCTCTTTAAGTCCCCTTTGGTTCAAGTCTTCTTCCACCTTATCTTCCCAACGCATCTTTGGTTTTCCTCTTTACCTCTTTCATTTTATTACCAGTTTTTCGATCTTCTTTCCAACATAATTGTCGCTTCTTCGCTCTACGTGTCCAAACCATCTCAATCTGCATTCTTGCATCTTTTTGCTCAAGGAGCCCACCTGAACAGAACTTCTAATAAAATCATTCCTTATTCTATCCTTCCTTGACACTCCGCCACCTCCATCTTTCTTTCTTGGGCCCATGTCTTCGTTCCATATAATATTGCAAGTCTAACGACTGATTTATACAATTTTTCTTTCAGATTGCAGCTAACTTTCTTGTCGCATAACACACCGCTCAGCTTCCTCCAGTTCATCTATCCACATTGAATTTTTATTCTGCACTTCCGAGTTCAATCCTGCTCCCATCTCGACAAATATCCCAAGATATTTAAAACTCGGAACCAAAGAAAGCGGCACATTTTGGATTTTAATATTACACTCATCTCTGCCATTCAGAGTCATAAAAGCTGTTTTAGTTCTACAAATCTTCATGTCTCTTTCTTCCAAAACTTTCCTCCAATCTTCCAGTTTTTTTCAGCCTTGGTTTAGGAAAGTTCACACAGCACAATATCATCCGCAAACATTATCCTCACACTTCATGTCACACACCATCACGTCCATTATCAGGTCAAACAAATAAGAGCTAAGGGCCAATCCCTGATGTAAACCAACATTAACGAAGAACCCTTCTATAGTTCCCACACTGCTCTTAACTTGGGTCTCTGCTCCCCCGTACATTTCCTTGACGAGGAAATGTACCAGGGTGTTATTAATTAATTATTTATAAATAATTAATAATCTAGAACAAAAATTAATTTTCTGCATTTTTTCTAGAGCAAATAATTTATCTGAAATTTTTCTAGAACAAATAATTTATCTAGAATTTTTCTGGAGCAAATAATTTATCTGAAATTTTTCTAGAACAAATAATTTATCTAGAATTTTTCTAGAGCAAATAATTTATCTGAAATTTTTCTAGAACAAATAATTTATCTAGAATTTTTCTGGAGCAAATAATTTATCTGAAATTTTTCTAGAACAAATAATTTATCTAGAATTTTTCTAGAGCAAATAATTTATCTGAAATTTTTCTAGAACAAATAATTTATCTAGAATTTTTCTGGAGCAAATAATTTATCTGAAATTTTTCTAGAACAAATAATTTATCTAGAATTTTTCTAGAGCAAATAATTTATCTGAAATTTTTCTAGAACAAATAATTTATCTAGAATTTTTCTGGAGCAAATAATTTATCTGAAATTTTTCTAGAACAAATAATTTATCTAGAATTTTTCTAGAGCAAATAATTTATCTGAAATTTTTCTAGAACAAATAATTTATCTAGAATTTTTCTGGAGCAAATAATTTATCTGAAATTTTTCTAGAACAAATAATTTATCTAGAATTTTTCTAGAGCAAATAATTTATTTAGAATTTTTCTAAACGCTTCTAAATTTCTCAAAATTCATTTTCTAGAATTAAATTATATCTTAACAAATACTAAATCGGTCGCCAAAGAATACATTTAAATTTCTTTTATGAATTATACATCATCTGAATTAAATAAGTATTAAAATTTGCATCGGTTTCTGTAAATTTTCTATAACAAATAATTAAAAATGAAATATTTTAAAATATAAATAAACTCGTATTATCTGCAGGATTCGCATAAATTTTCAACGTTATTTCGATCAGGTTTAATAATCGTCACATGTAGGAATTAAAGCGATATTTAATTTGTAAATTCAATTAATATCATTCAATTAAATTTGAAAATTATTATTAAAATGGATAATTACTTAAAGAGAAATTTGAAGAGTGGAAATATATAAAAATATTCATTCGCGGTGAAAGGTTTCAAATATCACAATAGGAGTAACGTCGTGACATATCCTTAATTACGCCGCTGTCAACAACGTTTGGTGACATCTAAACTACGGAATTATAGGATTTATGATGCCGTAACAAACCAATTGAAGTTTGTTACTTGTATGAAAATCAAACACCTTTTAGACAAAAATAAAATTTAAAATATACGAGATACATTTGAAAAAAAAAAGAGTATATCTCACTCATCTCGGATAAAGAGAAGTTTCGATGAAATTGTGAAATTTGAT